CGGTCGAAAGTCAGAAAGAAGTTATTAGAACGAAGTGTCGTGTTTTTAAACCTAGCAGACAGTAAATAAGAAGCAACTGGCACCTGCTTGCTCTCACTTCTTCAAAACATTTCTTCTGTCTGTACTGGACGTTCCTAAACATTCATGCACTTTCTTGACTTGTAATAACCCTCTGACGTTACTAGAACCACCCCCTGTTGGTTGTTTCAACCAATCAGGAAGTCCTGAAGTGACCGGAAGTGAGAACTCTTTAAAAGTCCACACTTCCTGGAGTCTTTGGGTTTTTCAAGTCTTCAAGTCTTCTGTCGAGTTGGGACTATGGAGTCTTCCACATCTGAGTGGAACCTCTGACGGACTCACAGCTCGCTGTGAACTCACCCGGGCATAATGCCCTACAACCTCGAAGGAAGCTGGTTCTGTTTAACAGAGTAAACCACACGACTTCTGACGATGCCCAGCCACTGCCCGGAGATGCTGTAAAAGGATCGTACTAATGGAGTCCTGTTCCTGAGCGGAGGTATCCCCGTCTAAGGTAACAAAGTCTCTGCACGTCCTGAAGTGTACCGGAGGGTTGAGCTGGTGTTGAAAGAAGCGTGCTAATTCTGGTAAACAAAACACCTCCCATTCAAGTGTCTTTAAACTCTTCATTTCCCATCTTTAAACTCTTCTATTTTGCCAGTAGTCTAGATGCCTTCTTCAAATGTCCTGTTGTCTTATTAAGTAAAATGTGCCAAGTTTTATTAATCAGAACCAGATCAGCTAATCAAGTGTACAATGTTTTGATGTTAAATTTTGATTCTGTTCAATAAATGACTACATTTATTCTGATGGGTCAAAGGAAATTAACGTCTCATGTCACTGATTTAAACAATCATCACAGTTATCTCGTCACATGGCGGTAATTTAACTCGAAAAAGAGAGAACCCGTTATATTTGAATAATTGTAGTGGAGGTGCAGCTAAGCTGGCCCTTGTCACACTACAAAGGTCATGTGGTCTGATGAGTCCAGATTTACCCTGTTCCAGAGTGATGGGTACATCAGGGTAAGAAGAGAATCAGGTGAAGTGATGCACCCATCATGCCTAGTGTCTAGTCATCAATGCAAGATCATGGTGAAAACTTAATGCAACACTGGATCTTGTGACATTGCAGAAGTTTATCGAAACAATGCCACAGTGAATGCATGCTGTAATCAAAGCTAAAGGCGGTCCAACAAAATATTAGTGTGTGAGCTTTTGTTTTTTGGTGGCAACTTTTTTTGGCCAGGCAGTGTATTTACAAAGTTTGACAGGAGTGGCAACAAGTCTGTTTTCTGAGCAGAGTTAGTTTGAAACTCTGACATTAAAAGTGGATTGAATTATGCTTTTCTTAAAAAAAGCGAAGCTTGAACTTGTTTAATTAATCACGTCTGCATTTAACCCATCTATTTTACAAGCAGGCATATGTTTGAAGATGAAATAAATTGAATCTTAAGTTTGTTTTTATTTATTTTGTTTTATATGTTTGTTACTAATCCATGCTGTTCACTAAACACGTCAAAGTGCCTATAAGCTACAGTCTGTACAGTGCCTGTACATAGCCAGTGTAGAATAAGAAAGGCTAATGCTACTCTGCAAACAATCTTCTCAGTAAACAGGACTCAGTGTTGTATATTGATATTTTAAATGTGATATAAAATAAGATTTACATTAATGTATGTATGCTAAATAGTATAAATCTAAATAGTAGAGAACTGATGGGAAAAAGTTATTCAACTACTGAAGATTTTGAACTAAAACAATTATGAATCTGTAAAGCATACATTAAAAATTAATATTTTACAGAAACAAACACGGGAGCAATCAGGAGCCAGACTGTCTTCAAACTTAGTGTTTTCTTGTTTAAGCCTCACTCTGATGCTCCAGCCGGTAGCGCTTAGAAGAGCAGGTGGCCTTAACAGACAGTGAACTGAGCCTTTCTCAAGACAAACCCGCTTTGTTCATCTCCCTACAATCTTCCTCCACCCTTTATCCTACCAGCAATCCTTTCTCTTTCAACTCATTCCATCCTTTCTGGCTCAGCCTTATCGCTCCATCGCTTCCTGCCAACTTTTCTCTTCTTTCCTCTATCTGCAAGTCCCCAAATAAACAGCAGCAGACAGAACCAAATGTATTAGATGTACAAAGTGGATATTTTCCACCGTTTTTTAAATACATAGATTGATTTGTTCTTCTTGTAGCACAAACAACAAAAACAACCACAACCATGAGTGCAGCTGAACAGACCTAACAAGTCGCACATTTAAAGACTACACCCATGTCACAGTGTGTTTATGCAGCATAAGTTGAGCTCCTAAAGAACAGAACATTTAAAAATGGGATGACATGTAAACCGCCCCCCTTTGATACAACAATGGCTGTAGAAAAACAACCACACTAGTTGAGTCAGTTAGCATTGGTTAGCCCACCACTAAAAAACAAACATTTTTCCCATCACTGAAATAAATAGTCTGGTAAATTGTGATAATTGTTGCACCTTTTATACTGACTCATTTAAAGTATTTTAATTGTCATTTAGTAAAGCAATGGTAAATAAAAGTTTAGCTTTAAATCCCTGTTTATACGAATGATTGACATTAAATGATAGTAAAACTTGCCAGCTTTAATGTTGACACAATGTGGAACAGAACGTTATTCTGGTGTATCTATACTGCCTGTTTATCTCTAAACATCAACACAGAGATCAAACCACCAAACTGCCTTTAACAGGTTTTGGTGGCTGCAGAGCAGTGGTAGGGCAGCTGTGTCGGGACGGGAAAGTCACATGTTCGATTCCCCATTTCATTGTAGTAGAAAATCACTCTGAAAATTGCGATATTAGGTTTTGATTGCAATGACAAAACAGTTCATGGAAAAACAGTAGAAATAGGGTTGGAGCACACTGTCGTGTTGATAACGTGAATGATTATGTGAATGATTATAAACCATTCACACCAACGAGATCCATTTTTCTTCTGTGCATTTGTCAGCACGCAACTCAATTCATAATTTTTGTTCTATTACAACAATTCATATATCAATTCATGCCATGAGTTTTGGTATTTGTTCAATGTTAAATTTTGAAATATTTAACTTTTTCTGCCATGTTTTATTTCTATTGAAAATGAATGGAGCTCCCTTGACGTCATTTTGCCGCTCGTCTCAGCTGTTGCTCTGGTTCAGCATCTTTCAGCTTCTTTGTGCTAATTTCAGCTTTTTATGATCCATCTATCCATTATCTTTACTCGCTTCTTCCTTTTCGGGTCACGGGGGTCACTGGTGCCTATGTCCAGCTATCACTGTGCGAGGGGCAGGGACACCCTGGACAGGTCTCCAGTCCATCACAGAGACACATAGAGACAAACGAGACAACCATTCACTCTCACTCACACCTAGGGACAATTTAGAGTTACCAATCAGTCTAACATGCATGTTTTTGATCTATGGGAGGAAACCGGAGTACCTGGAGAAAACCCACACACGCACGGACAGAACATGCAAACTCCACCCAGAAAGTCCAAAAGCCGGGATTTGATCCAGCAACCTTCTTGCTGAGAGGCAACAGCTGTACCAACTGATCCATCGTGCTGCCCTTTTTAAGATTATTTTAGTTTTTCTGCTAAATTCAGCTTTTTTCTGCTTTCTCTGCTACTTTCTGGCCTTTTTTTTCTGCTATTTTTATTGCTACTTTCAACCTTTTGTGCTTCTTTCTAATATTTTGAACTTTTTATACTTGTTTCAGCCTTGTTTATTCTTTTCAATTTAAGCTTTTTTAAATATTTTTTCAGCTTTTTTTATTAGCTAATTTCAGATTTTTTTTTCTGCTCATTTCAGTTAGTTTTTTTTAGCTAATTTTTGTTGTTGTTTGTTTTGGTAATCTTTTCAGCCTCTGCCTCATTCAGCTTAATCTGCTACATTTCTGCTATACTCAGCTTTTTCTACACATTCCTGTTGTTTTTCTTCTGCTTTCCACTTTAATTTTCCCATTTACAGCAAATGTCAGCTGTTCAAATCCAACTCACATTAACAGTTTGGCAATAAGACCTTTTCAGCCTGGTTACAACTTCTTCAGCAACTTTCAGAAAAAAATCACTCAACAATAAACACTCACTGCATTTTTGCAGGAAATGCAATTTCTCTAGTTTTATTTGTCTCCCTTACTGGACAGTTTACAATTCCTCCATCTATTCATTTACTACACCTACTTGTTCCTGTGGGGGTCATGGAGAACTGGTGCCAGTTTCTAGCAGCCATTAAGCAAAAGGCAGGAACAGTTTACCCTGTTAGCAAAATTCAATGTTCACAACATGCAAACAAATAGATTATCTTCCCATAGTACAGAACATTCTGTATTTGTACTAGAACTAGAGAACAATATGATGTTTACACAAGTAATCAAACGAAACAAACAACTGATAACTGTCAAAGTGATTCAGCCAAAGTGAAATCTTTGCACACCTTAAGGTATTGAGTAACGTACAGTTTTCGACTTTCTGGAGTTTATACATAGAGAAATTGTGACTGTTTAAGTTAAAGCCCTACCAAAAATAAGAAACCTATATAGAAGCTCTTTATTTCTAAAATACACTTCCTACCAGCGTCTTATTTTATTTGAACAGAGCGACAGAAAAACAAAAAAATTAAATGTTCTTATTTTATATTGACATATTGATCCACCTTTGTTACGTGTTCCGCAAACTGGAATGCTTATAATTCCCATAATTTGTCACAACGCTGAACACTGTAAACTAAACTCAATGTCAAATAAAAAGCAGACACACAAGTAACAATTCATTTAAGACATTTTGTCAAAAAGTAACAGGAGGATGGATTTGATTTATTTTAAATTTAAAGGCATGGCAGAGTTCCACCTTAATCTTTTGGCACATTACACTGAGTTAGACCGAACGGAAGGGGTCTCACGTTGTCTTGAGAGTGTTGTGTGAAAAAGGTTACAAAGAACTCAATAAATCAAACCCTTACCAGCAGTGAAGTCCTTGTTGAGGTCAATGAATGCATTAGAGTGAGGAATGCGCATTTTGGCAGTTGAATTCAGCGCTTTCTGCCATACTGGAGTCCTGAAGGGGTAAAAACAAACAAAGCAATAACTACATTTAGTACTGAATTTCAAAACTGAGGTATAGTACCGTATTTTTCTGATTATAAGGCGCATTAAGTGAAACTAAACTGTCCGATAAGTCAAACTTTATTCAACTCATTCACAATAACTCTCAACATTGTTTAGTTTTAACACATAAAATCGGTCCAAGGTCAGTAAGTGCAACCAGACTGAATACATAAGGCGCATTGGATTATGAGGCTCACTGCCAATTTTTAACAAAATTAAAGGATTTTAAGTGCGTCTTATATTCTGAAAAATACGGTAAGACTTTAGGTTTGAAAATAATTACTTTACCTGTTCTTAAGATAGCAAATTTCAGTTGAAGTGAGACTGACGGCACCAAAAATGTCCGGGATCATGTCTCCATTAAAACTGAAGGAAATAAAATAAATAAATGTACGTTAGTAAAACACCAATGACCCATGTGCTTGTTGATCATTGTTTGGACTAGGTTTGTGCAAAAACAAATACAATCTCAAAGCCCTAATTAGAAATATGTAAAGATTGTAAAACATATTTGGGATGACCAGTTTTACAAGAAAAATATCTAAATCTTACTTAACACAAAAAACATATAGACTTACTCCATAACCAGAGGCTCGTCTATTAGGGTCTTATTCAGGAGGAGCGAAACACCAGTGTCTGCACAGAAAGAAAAAAAAAAAGGTCAAAAACCCCTGAGGAGCAATTATCTACAGCAGGGATGTCCAGTCCTGGTACTATGGGCCATTATCCTGTTTTACTTGTTTCTCTGCTCCAACACACCTGATTCAATGGTTAAATAACCTCTTCATGTTCTGCAGAAGACTGCTAATCATATATTAATTCATATCAGGTGTGTTGAAGCAAAAAATACTTAAAAAAAGACAGGACAGTGTCTCTTCAGGACCAGGATTGGTGTTGGGATTGGACACCCCGATCTACAGAATCACAGTGTGCTGACTTCAAGGGCCTGTACTTATAAACTCACCTGTAAGATAACTGAGGCAGACTTTCTATGTAAAAAAAAAAAAAAACTGATTACTGTATTTGCTGATGAGTTTTTATTGAATTTTTGTAGATTTTTGAAATAAACAATAAATCATTGTCAGTATTTAAAATTATTTTTTTTAAAGGGTCTTAACATCTCAGATCAAAATCCAGTGATCTGGCACCACCATTAGAGGAAAAAGTATAATTTATCAAACTTTTAATTAAAACATATATATATATTTCAAGAATTCAAGGTCCTTTATTGTCATTCACATCGCATGTGGCACATGAGGTGGAACAAAATTCTGTATTCAAGGTCCCAGTTACATCCAACAATAGCAAAAATATAAAGTGTAAAAAGAAACAGTAAATAAGGATCTAAGATATAAATTACGATATACGCTAAACGAACGCCCAATGGTACGCTAAAAGATCTAAGATATACGCTAAACACTAATAGCGCAAAACAATACATCGAACAACAGCAGCACGATTCTCATAGGTTCAGTTTGGCTATAATTTACACTCCTAATACAAGCACTAACATAAACTAAACTAACATAAATTAGGATTTATTGAAAGCATGCAACAAAAATATAGAAAAAAAGGCGCCAAAAGTGAAAATAAATAAATCTACAACAGCATGGTCCTGTTGGCAGAGTGGTTCTGATGTCAGTGAGGTTATCTTAGCAGCATGACACAGTTCGCAGTGAAGTTCAGTTAGTAGTGTGGTCTTGTTAGCAGAGTTAGCAGGTCCCTTCAGCAGCATGATGATAATAAACTGCAGCAGCTGCCTCCCAAAATGCCCTCCAGAACTGGGTCCTAGTAATTTAAATTGCCTTGTTCCAAAAGTCATATTTGTTTGATTTATTTTGTATATAGTTAGTAGTTTTTTAGAATAGTTTTTGTACTAGGGCTTTTAAAGGTTTTACCTGTCTAAAAGCCTACACAGAGACAAGTACAAAATAGTTACATTATATGACAAGAATCAATTGTAACAGTCCCATTATAACATTAAAAAGAAAACCTTTACGCAATACACTATTTTTTATGCATTCGACATAGCATGTTAATCAATTTACTTTCTTGAGACTTGCTACAAGAAATTGTAGATCTACATTATTAGTGTTTAGCGTATACCTTAGATCTTTTAGGGTACCGTTTGGCGTTCATTTAGAGTATACCTTAGTGTCTATCTTAAATCCTTATTTACACTTTTTTTTATTTTATATTTTTGCTATTGTTGGATGTAACTGGGACCCTGAGTACTGTACATAATTTTGTACCACCTCATGTACCACATGTGATGCGAATGACAATAAGCTTGAACTTGAACTGGTTTATGTAAATTTCGGCCAATACGTAGATGTCAATGACCTTAACATAAAGCTTTAATTCTTGCAGTGGGTCTGTAATTGTTATTTTTTATCAACTACAAAATATACAACTGTCTACACAATGTGGAACCATTCCCTAAAGTTTAATAATATGTTAATAAAGTAATGTCTCTGGTCTTTAAGATGCAAGCTAAAGAAGGAAGATACAAGTATTACTAATATATCCACAGATGTGTCTGTTGTATTAGAGTGTATAGTGTAAATTGCTTCGGTATGCCAATGTGAGCATAAATGGACAACTTCCCTAGAAGGATTACCACAGATTTATATTTTGAATTTTAACACATAAATATGAGATTACTAAATGAAAAAAAAAAAAAAAAAAACTAGAACGTACCAATGAGCACTGAATTATTCTGCTACAGTGTTATCTAGAAATGCACACTTGTGTAAGAGCAATAACACCTAACAATAGTAACCTGGGATTGGTCAGACCTTGTTTTTCTTCAAAACAAAACATTTGATGTACAAAGCAGAGAAGAAACCCAAACAGGACTCCAGTCAGCCATCAGGTGAAAATGGGGAACCCAGACCCAGACCAGTGGTCATTCCGTATGTTGAGGGAGTATCAGAGAAACTGAGACGTTTATTTTCTAAATACAACTTCCCAGTGGCTTTTAAACCCCAAAATACATTACAGCAAAGACTAGTTCATCCCAAAGATCCAGTCCCCCGGCACAAACAGAGTAATGTTGTGTATGCTGTTCAGTGTCAGGAGGGCTGTGATCAGTCTTACATCGGGGAAACTAAACAGCCACTGGCCAAAAGGATGGCCCAGCACAGAAGATCAACATCATCAGGCCAGGACTCTGCGGTCTACACTCATCTCCAGGCCAGCGGTTACTCTTTCAGGGATGAAGATGTTCACATCCTTGATAGAGAGGAACGATGGTTTTAGAGAGGAGTGAAGGAAGCCATATTTATGACGAGAACCTGTCCATTGTTAAACAGGAGTTAGGGCCTCCAAGTTCAACTGTCCCCCTCTTACAATGCTGTTATTACATCAGTAAGCCCTCTGTGAATAGCAAGAGGGCATCAGGACACTATCAGTCATTAAGCTAATGGTCCTCCGTTTGCATGTAAACAACCAGTTCTGGATGTCACCAGCAAACTAGGTGCTCCATTATGAGAATGTGTTGCTTCTTATAAGACTGAATTTGTTGCAGTTCCTCAGATGGAAGAAGTCTTTTGGATAAAAGACTAAATGTTTCACCAAAGAAGAATTCATCCAGAGGACCTGACTCAACCTTGTTAGATTTGATGTGCAAGTCTTGACACAACAGACATTTTGCTGCTAAAAGAAATGCATGCTTAGAACTGTTTAAAATGGATATGCAGCTCAACCAAAAACAAACAAATTCTAGTGGACAACACTTAAAATACACATAAATATATTGTACAATACATATCAATATAAATACATTTATTGTACAAAAAAAAGGCGAGCAACATTCTATTAAGAGTTATTTATCCCCAGCCTCTGTTCACACTTTATCATACCTAATGTCTGGTTGTCCCCCCAAAAGATGATTACTGTTGTTTGATGGGACTTTATTGTAGCTGTCAGAAGGACATCCATCTGAGAGTCTCCATCGTAATCTCCAGGAACTACACTGGTAATGACTGCTTCCCTATAAATACAAGAAAAAAAAGTGTTATGTATACTGTATATCAGAGTCAGAGTTTCTTTATTGTCATTCGCACCTCATGTGGTACATGTGGTGGAGCGAAATTATGTACACAGGGTCCCAGTTACATCCAACAATAAAATATATAAGAAAAACAGTAATAAGATCTAAGATATGAACTAAGAAAAACATCAACTAAATATACACTAAGCACTCATAACATAAAACATTGAACATCAGCACAAACATGAACATGTATGTATGTATATACATACATACATACATGCACACGCATACGTATGTTCATATATACATACGTTTTTATGTGAACAGTCAATTACAAAATACAAAATATTCTGTATTACATCAAGATTTTATCTCCAGTAAAGTTAACCATGGGTAAAGTAAAATGTATTCATAGACAACAACAAAAAAGTGACCGAATACATATAACATGCTTTTAGGTACTTACTCTGGCAAATTGTCCTTTGAGATTTTAACTTTAGGCTTAAAGTAAGGAGAGGTGGAATCAGCCAAGAATATCACCAACTCAGATTCTGAAAAAAAGAACAAGGAATCTACGTCTTTAAAGTGAACGTATTATCCTTTGCAACATACTTGTTTTGAACAGCAGATTGAATTTTGTTAATGTTCAGTAGGTTCCTGAGTGAGAGTATACATGCTGAATGAAACCAAAGTACGAGCTGGTTAAATTCTCCAAAAGATCAGAAGTGACTGTGCCTGAGTGCTTAGAGCAGTTGTCTTCCAGTCAGAGTTGGTGATCTTCACCATTAAGTACTGGTAGTCACATGTTGAAGTGTCCTGGACAAAACACTGAATACCTTGTTGTCTCCGATGTGTGTCCCATCAGTGTATGAATATGATCTAAAGCACTGATTAGTCTCTATAAAATATTTATATTAGCTTTGTAGAGATGTGGTAGAGCACTTTATGAATGTGTGGATAGGTAAATGAGGGAACAGATTGTTATAAAGTGCTTTGAGTATCTTGGTTGGATAGAAAGGCGTTATGTAGGACCACAATGAAGTTAGTTTTAGGTTGGACATTCGAGCTCTGTGGATTCAGCAGTGTCTTCCTCCCCTTTGACCTGATGCAGGCAGTCTGATTTCGGAGAGATACCCTCTGCCTGCTTCCTCCTCCAAGCCACAGTGGTTAACTTCACGACTGTCAATAAATTGCCAAACCGAACACTCCTGAGAAACAAAAATTAATAGCGTTCATGTCATGTGACCCAATGACACAAATTTAAGTTAATTATTCTATTAGACTGAACAGACACGCGCATCTGATTATAATCTTCATCTTCTATCGCTTATCTGTAGTCGGGTTGCAAAGGCAAAGGTCCAGGAGAGAAACCCAGACATCCCTCTCCCCAGTGACACTTTCTAGCTCCTCCTGGGGGACCCCACAGTGTTCCAAGGCCAGAGAAGATAAGCAATCCCTCCTGCGTTTTCTGGGTCTTCCCCAGGACCTCATACCAGTGGGATGTCTAGGAAACCTCTAAAGGGAGGTGTTTGTTAGGCATATTACCATAATCAGATGCCTGAACCACAGCAACTGACTCCTTTCGATGCGGAGGAGCAGCAGCACTACTCTGAGCTCTCCCCAGATGACGGAGCTCTTCACTCTATCTTTAAGGTTGAGCCAGGCCACCCCGAGAAAGCCCATTTTGGCCACTTGTACCTGGGATCTTGTTATTTTGGTCATGATGCAAACCTCATGACCATAGGTGAGGTTGGAACAAAGACAGACTAGTAAATCGAGAGCTTTGCCTTTCAACTCAGCTTTCTTCTTCACTACAAACCAAAGCAGAGCCATCATTAACGAGAGAGAGGCCCCGATCCGTCGATCCATCTCCCGCTACATCCTACTATCAAACAAGACGCCCAGAGCAGAACCACATCATCTGAATAAAGCAGAGAGAAGACCCTGCGGTTCTCAGACCAGACATCCACCTCTCCCTGACTGTGTCTCAAGATCCTGTCCATGAACACCACAAACTGGACTGGACTGGTTCAAGGAAAATAGCCTGAAGCCTTCTCCAGGTCTACAAAATGCATGTAGACTGGAGAAGCCAACTCCACGACTCCTTTAGAAACCCTGCAAGGGTGAAGATCTGGTCCACTAGCAGGACACAAGCCACACTGTTCCTCCTGAATTCGATTTTGTTGGTTGGTTGGAGCCTCCCTTCCTGGAGTAAACTTTCCCTGGGAGGGCAACAAGTGTGAACCCAAGATAGTTGTAACACTCTCTCATGTCCCCCCTTTTTTATATGGGAAACCATCACCCTGGTCTGTCACTCCACAGACTTGTCCCAGTCCACCATGTGACATTGAAAAGACGTGTCAACAATGGCAGTCCCACATCATCCAGAGCCTTCAGCATCCTGATGCAAATTTCGTCCATCCCTGGCGGGAGGAACAGGACAAATGCTGAATCTGCAGAGCTCGAAAATACAATATACAGCACGTGTTTAATTAAATCATTACAGGAGTGCATTTCACACAGAAAAACATCGTTACATTCCGCATGCTGCACATCTGAATAGCTGTGTTACGACGAAACTTCGTCATATTTCGAGTTTTAACTCTGTTTCTGTGTTGATATTAGTGAGGAATAGCAATTTCAAGTTTTTCAAAAGATTTAGCTAAGCAAAAACTATTAACGGGATTACCCTAATTTCAAAGTAAACATCGCATGTTAACTCAGTTGTATATAAAATAAACTGACTGTAGGATGTAACGTTACGTGGGTTAGAACAGTAAACAAACATAAGCACAGCAAACATACGCTCTCTGATGATGAAGATGTCTGTCTGTTTATCCGAGTTAAAATCACCAAACGCCGCCACCGTCCCATATTTTACGCTCCCGAAAAGCTCAGGAGTGACATCCTGTAGAGCAAATGTGTTATACTGCCCAAAAATAAGTAACAGAAACGCTAAATGGTTTGTTTGAAATAGCCACATCCTCGTACAGGTGCAATCCCTCACAACAACATCAATCGACCGTAATACGGCACGCTGCTTTACAGCTCGGAGATCCAGCTCCTTTTTCTAAATAAAAAAAAAATACCATATCAAGTTTGGTTATTAGAGGTAAACATATACGAAGTTGGCTTTAATATATTGCAAATAGATTAAGTTAATGTGCTGAAATATTCACAAACCATGTGACTACGATGTTTTATTATTTACGACAGTGTCGTGCACATGATTAGCCAAACGGTTGACAGCTGCGTAAAGCTACTGGTTGTTAGCAAAGAACAGAACGGAACTAATAAAAATGATTTTCAGCATAAATCATCATGCCGTCAAAGTTATGAATTAATAACAAAATTAAGAGGATAAAACTCATTTTATCGTTTAAATTTGATTTAAATCGTAATAAATGTTTCATTGTAATTTTTATGCAGCATTATTCATGTTCACTTCGATTGTATGTTGGAACAATTTAGTTTTATTTTGAAGGTCGCACACAAGTGAAACCCTTTAACCTTTTCCTGTAATTGACGCTAAGTAAACATGGCGAGCCTCGCAGATGTCGGCAGGAAGCTCCTGGAATTTAAAGCCAGATCAAATAGATCAGGTCTGAGTCATTTCTTTGCATGATATCATACAGCGTGACACGCCCGGAAGTTTCTTGTGCCAGAGCTTGTGTCTGTATAGCTTTTTTCACCCTAAATGCGGCTTGATCTGTGTGTTCAACTTGTCCACTGCAGTGATGGTTCGAGCATTAAAGGTCAAGGGTGCACTTGCGCTGTAACTCAGCCGCTATTTTAGGAGCTTCACACTAGGTCTCTGCACACACACTTAAATGTTTTGTTTTTTAATGTGTTTATTGTCCAGAAACCCTCTGGCCCTGTGAAACCTGCTGGTAAAGAACACAGAGTGCTTTTGTTAGCACTTTACAGTGTACACAAGAGGAAAAAACACAGTTTGTCCCAGGAATACTGTTAAAAGACAGTTATTTACAAAAGAGTCACTATACTTAAATATGTATTTTAAAAAAAAGTTAACTGTTGTAGTTCATGTGTATCATATAACCTTTGGCCTAATTCTGTTCAAATAATATCTTCCCCTAGTTTTTAAATTAGACAGGTTAAATAGAACCAACTTAACATAAAATCACTATAAGTAGTGTTATAATCCATTTTTGAACGTCTTTTAACAATGGCATTACTGTTTTAGAGTAGGTTGACTGTCTCTACTAATTGTTACAATGAAAATAGTTGTCAAAGTGTTTAAAAATGCACTGATTTTTTTGCATGCTGTTAATGCTCATCAGTAATTCAGTGAATGTAATTCAGTGACGATTCATGCATGTCTGAAATCTTAACTCTGTGTTACTAACTCCTTCCTGTGAATTGCTGTAGATTTGTGAATTAGCTGAGAGAGAAAAGAGGGAGAGAGACAGAGACGATTGGCCTTAATTTCACCTTTTGAGAATGGCTGTTTCAGTGCCTGCGGTAACCCGGCCCCATCGGGAAGTCCTCAGAATCGGTAAGTAGCGGCAGCAGACCTGGGTCAGATGGGTTCTACCAGTCCAGAAAGTTTCTTTATCCTCTTCAGGTTCTCCATGTTTGGTTCGTTTGAGCGTAAATTGGGGTTTTATTTTCCTTGTCATCCCACAAACAATTGTTCCTAATGATGAAGCAAACTTGCGTACTGATTTAGTTTAAAGCATATTAAATAAACTACACTTCTGTTTGCATGAGCTTTAGTGGCTCCTACTTTTAAATAGTCACCCTTTAAATGTTTTTCCAGCTTAAGATGGACTCCATCTGTGCCAAACTGAATGTATTGAATTAAAGGTACACACACATGTAAAGGTGCATCTCACAGGGAAAAGAGCAACACATGGAGTCATGGATCAATTCTTTGTCAGTGTTTTTCAACAGGGTCAGAAAGTGATGAATTGGATGTACCTAATGTGCAACCCCCAACTTGAACAAGTCAGGACGTTGTGTAAAATGTAAATTTAAAAAACGATTGTGGTTATTTTGCAAATCTTATAAACCTGGGATTTATTTACAATGGAGCATAATGAACATATCAAATGGTTAAACTAAGACATTGTACAGCTTTAGGGACATTTTTTTAATTTTTAATTTGATTGCAGCAACACATGAAATAAGTGGGACAGGATCATGATTATCACAGTGAAGCTTTCCCTCTTCTAACAACAGTCTGTAAACCTCTAGGAACTGAAGAGATCAGCTGCTGGAGTTTTTGCATGGTGACCTTATCCTGTTCTTGTCTAATGTTGGATTCTAGCTGTTTAACAGTCCTGGGCCTTTCTTGCAGGATTGCTTTTTTGTTTCATTATGCACCAAATGTTTACTAAGAAGTCTGGATTGAAGGCAGGCCAGTTCAGCACCCGGACTCATACTACAAAGTGTTGTAATGGATGCAGTTTGTGATTGTCTTGCTGAAATATGCAAGGCCTTCCCTGAAAATCATGGTCTAGATATATTGCTTTAAAACTTTATATATATATATATATATATATTGCA